TTTGGCAGCCAGACCTAGAGAATACCTCGAAACGTACGAAAGTTGACGCTAACAAGCCATTCCCCTAGCGGGCGCTGCGTTGGGCGGCGGGTTAGTGGATGGCTTGTTTGTGGACTTTTTGTCTTGGTGCTGGTCGTAAGAGAAGATTTGGTGGGCTGGTTGGCATACACAACGTAGCGATCACCAGTTTTTAGGACAGCTCATTAATACCAAATCACGATATGCTGTGAAGACTGTTATGAATCTCGTACCGAAACCTGCCAAGGGCTGTTGAGGATGTGAATACTGTATTGTCAACTTCTCCTTACCTGCAGTGCTGTGGTCCTGAAATTGTTATCATGTGGTGCGCAAAGTAATTGCCTTCTTTATTTTTTGCCACTGGACATGCAATTGCATGCAAAAATGGAAAAGTTTGTAACATTGCTATGAACTGATTGCCAAACCATTGTTTGTTCTATGGTAAAGATGGTAAGGTTGAGCTACCTAAAAGCTTTTTTGCTTAGTTATGCAATTATCAGTGAACCCTGATATAACCATTGTGGTGCAACAGCGTTCTCACTGTTGATAGTCCTTTGGCATTGTTAAATCAGTCGTTGCCAGCCATTCATAAATTATGAGCTGTCGTCTCATAGGCTTGACATAGAGTAGTCAGCCAATGTGGTACATTGTGTTATGTCATGGGTCAACAGTGTCATTGTGGCACTATCTCAATGTTCTGCTGTGCCATGGCATAATGAACAGTGGCGCGGTTTTTGTATTACAATTCCTGCTGCTTTCATAATAATTTACATCATGAAAAGATGGGATAAGCATGCATTCTTGTATTAACACCGCATCTGACATACGACTGATCAAAAACACATGATACAATATGCCAATCACTTTCAGCAAACTCACAACCAATAAGTGGCATCGCTTGCTCAGCCTGTTTTGGAAGTCAACAAAACATGGGCGACGAAGATGCAAACACGCCTTCTGCCTCCACGGCCATGCAACATGCTACAGCTATCGGGCTGTCTCACTCAAAAATGTTGTTCACACAAGTAATAATGCATGCATAACAAGAGAAAATTGCATGTGAAATGCCACTGCAAACCTGCTGATCTTGCACAATTCACGATAAATCACGATAAAAATGTGTTTGTGCTATGTGCTATCAGTGCTATCCAAGAAACCAACCGCAATACTTTTCCACCTTTCTCAGCACCAGCATCTCGCAAGCTGCAATGACTACGACATTGATGACTGACAAGCATTGCTTGCCTGCGTACAAAATTCAGAAGTCTTCCGGGAAAGACAATTTTGTAAAGCTGTATCATGTGAGCTTATACCAAGCATGCGCATTAATGAGCTGCGCACACCAGCCCCTACTGCCAAAGTGAAGTGCTAATATAATGACAGGCAATGGATTAATTACATGCAGTAATGCTACAATAGGGTCAGAATGTTGGCACGATCATAATGAAGTAGCAAATTGCCTTCGTTCAACCCTGCAACATAGTTGCTAGTGTTTCTTTCAGTTTACAAGCTTTACTACCTTGTCCTGTTCAAACATGACCATACAGATAGAGGCAGGTATCAATATATCACATTGTATTGGGAGTTAGTAGACTTAAAGAATACCAAAACAATGCTCTCCCTCAGAAGTTCAAACCTGGCACACACTCCCCATCACATCAAGATCAATACAAACCACTGGCGCGCACCACCAGTGATCACGCCCATCTCAAGTCACTGATTCACACTCTTTTGTAAAATAAGTGTGATTCCACGCTTGCACAGCTTGCAGGACTATCAAATTGCAGGTTTTCTCACAATTTCCGCCCAGGTTTCCGGTCATACTACCGCATTTCACCGTGAGCTCCCCTCCAAACCTAAGTCCCAACGGGGGTTCATGGTAATGCAGCTCAAGAGGTTGTACTTAAAGAACACAATTTATTGTTCAGGATTTAAAGTTATCGTGCAATATGTGTTAAATGTCAAGCATATATATATATATATATATATATATATATATATATATATATATATATATATAAAGTTACTGTAATGTTTCCCTAATTTTATAATGCCTACCTAACCCATAAACTCATGAAAGCCTCTTTGCTCCGGTGCACACGGCGCCAGCCGAGATGTCCATACGAAGTACGTGAGTTGAAGAAAAAACGCCAGCAGAAGAAAAAAATACAAAGTTGCCATTGCGTGTTCTATTTAAAACATTCGGAAGAGCGCCATTCTTTTTTACGGTGTCGTATTTTTTTGCAGACAGTGGCGTCCTTTTTCTATAACTTTGGCCCATGGCCTAGATACAAGGAAAAATGCCCCGTTGAAAAGAAGTGCTACACAGCCCAAAGGTTTGCCCACAAGCAGAAGGCAGCTTGTAATATCACGGCGACCGCATCACGTTTCTATGACATCATCATTGCGGAGGTGGCTTTGAAAAAGTCCCTCAATAAACTTGTTGCCACTTCTGCGGGCGTGTAACTCAGGAACCATAGGGCTTTGGGCCTTAAAAAGGGTATGGCCGTGAACTGCATCAAAAGGTTCATAAGATGGCTATTTCAGTTCAAAACCCCATATATAGACGGAACATTCGCTTTGATGAACTAAATCCATACTCGTGGAAAGCAGTCCGGGTGGAAGATTACAACCCCGCAGTTTTCGGGGCTTGGGATTTTGATTTGCGATTGAATCTACATGAATTTCATGACTGTGAGGGGTTGTAATAAAACGGCATCGTACAAGGAGATGGTATTTTTGCGGGAGTGGGCGGGTGGGTAATGATAATGGATAACCCAGACAGTGGGCCGTTGCCTTTATCTGGTCCACCGCTCCTGACATTTCCGATCCTGCCTTCCCAAGGTTTTGTTTCATGTCGAACGGATTGTTCTCAGATCGGAGCAGCCTTGGAAGACTTTTAGAAATTTGGAGTAGATTTGGATCCTGTCGGGCCAGATGCGCATGGGATCGGCTCGAACACGATCCATCCGCTTCGTTTCTCTGGTTCAGGGCACCGTTATTTGGTCTGCGCTCCCGGAGGCCACAGAGAGTCGGCCCGGCCGCGTAATGCGTGCCTGATCACGGCCCCGTGATCGACAGGTCGGTAAACACGACCCGTCCGCCCCGCCCCAGGCCCGGCTGTCCGTCGCCGCCCTGACGTCACGTGACCAGACGCCGCGGGCGGCGCCCGGGGCGGTCTCGCAGCGGCCGTCGCTGCCTGCTTCGCGCGGCGTCGTCCGTTAGCCGTTCCCCGGGTGCCGGGTCAGTGATTACCGGCGTGTGATGGCCCCGCCCCGCTGCGTGACCTCTGACCCGCGTCGGCCGGGACTGGCACGTGGGAGGGAAGAGTGGCGGGCAGGCGGTGGAGTGACACGCGTTGGATTCTCCTGACCGGAGATGACCGTTACCCGTGTGAGCGAGTGAGTTTGTGTGCGTAGGGCATGGCGCATGCTGAGTTACAGGCCTGAATCTGGCGGGCGAGTAGTTACGCTGTGCGGTACACTGGTTCTGTTCTGACGGGCATGACTGGCGTTCCACGCAACTCTTTCGATCTTACCGCCATCCACAAGACAGCAGGGCCAATGATTGATGATTTACGTCCGTCGAAGTGCGCGCAGAGAGAGTGTGGTCTTACCCAATGCACATGCCAGCACTACGAATAATTGAATGTCCATATGGATCGTAATGTGTGCACCAAGGGGAGAGGGCTACGCCGGCCAGGCCAAAGGTCAGTGATTTCCTCTGATATCGCCGGCGGCATCAGAGGCGTCGCAGGCAAGGCGTGCGGATTGCCGCTGCGTGAATCTGAGCCCGTGTTTGGGAGGCGTGAGGCCGCCGCCCAGGCGCCCTGTATCGGTGACCACAGATGCCTGTTATCTGATGGACGGCTTGGCGGTCGACCGGTCCCGTGAATGGTGGCCTCGTTTCAGGGCTCCACCCGCGGCAGGTCACGTGCCGGAGGTCGGCTTCCGACAGATCGGTCCACGGGGCCGGCCCGACCGGGGCCGCTGCGTAACGGCGAGCTACAGAGCGAGAGCGAGGAGTGGACTCAACAGATCAAACGCAATGAAGGGTGTTTGAATGGTGATTGCATGGGGCGATTGGGGCAAGTGCCTTTGTTACAAATACGGTATGATGCAGGCAAGGCTGGTAGAAGGGATGAGACATCACGATTTTTCACGAAGACCACGAATAATTAGGATTAGAGCTGTCAGTCAGGCTTCTGGCGATTCTGAAGCCTAGGGTTCGTAGCGCAAGCGGTGCAAATCGACTTGACGCCGGCCTGGCCGGGCGCCATCCAGTCCCCGATCAGAAAAGCGTCTGGTAGGCTCGTGTCCTGACTACATCAGCGTTTGGTAGGCTTGTCTTCCGACCAGATCAGTATTTGGTTGCCTTGTCTTCCGACCAGATCAGTATTTCGCAGGTTTATTTTCCGACTAGGTCAGTATTTCGCAGGTTCATCTTTCGACCGGGTCAGTGTTTGCCAGGCTCGTCTCGCGTAAAGCTTTATTCGGCCTCTGTAGCGCCGGATTTGCTTGGAGTCTATGCCGGAACCGGTTGGCGTATGAAACTCATCGTACACAAATGGTTATCGTTTTTTACCATCGAGATAGGTGAAACGGCACGCATCACACTCATTCAAAATACAGGTAACAATCACTCCTAAACATTGCCCAGCAACTCCCCGCTTCGCTGGGATAGAGCCCACATATTTCAAAATAGTCCTGGAATCGACTACATAACAACCCCCTCTGGGCTGAATTCAATTACCGTTCACACCGAGATCTCTGGTCCCGTTGTTCCCTGGGCCAAAACATCCGGCCCTTGTTAGTACGCGGCCGGGACGCTAGAGGGCAGGTGGCTCGCGCACCTGTCGACAGGTGGCCGGCTCACGGGAACGGCGGCGGGAGGGGACTGTGGCGTGTCGTGCCCGGCCGGCTCTCGCCCGCCGCCAGACGAGTGGTCGTGCCGACAGAGGCGCTCGCGGGGCTGGGTCGGGGCCAGCTCGAACGCTGGTGCGTGTCGCGTGCTGGTGCAGTCGTGACGCTTGACTGTGCGCGTGTGCGCTTGTGTCAATAGAGCAGTTCGCGGTGTGGCAGCGAGCGGTCGGTAGAGGCAGTGTGCGGAGGCTGTGCTGCCGTGGTCGGCGGCTTCCATTGATCTGTGGGTCACGGGTCAGCCGACGGCGCGGGGCGAACTGACGCTGCGCTCCCAGTGTTGTTTTCGGATACATCAGTGACGTTGAAGTTCGCCGCCACTTACTGAACGTTTTCGTGGAATGTGTCGCCAAGGGAATATGAACCATCAGGTAAGAGAACAAAGCATGCGCTGTATCGATTCGTTGAGAGTGGATGTGCGCCGTCCATAAATTGCGTCACGCATGTAGGAGGAGGGGAAGGTTTGAAAGAGCGCAACCGAAGCGTGACGGGGGCGGGGGGATTTTTGGGCAGCGTAACTTTACCCTCAAGCGTGGTTGCCATATATGGCAACCATGCGCATACGCAACCATATGCATACCCTGAACCTAAACCTTTGTCCATCCTCATCAATGGTCTCACGCCGGTGACCAGGCAGCCGCAGTGGAACGCCGAATGTTAATTGCTGTTTGTTGACAGCATCATGAGCTCGAAGCGAACCACGGCTCTGTGATATGCCAGACGGGCGGGCCATGAGCTGCTGCGTGCGGCGAGATTGCCTCCCTGTGCATCGTGCATAAGTTCGCGGGAAGCGTGCTCCAGAAAAGGCTGAGAACATCGGAGCTCACCAAACTTCGCGGCACTGCACTAGACGTCGGATTATTTCCGAATTCGATGACGTTCCCAGCAGAGGAATTGATGGCGGACATTCTGTCCCTAGGAGATTGCAGTAGGGATTGCAGTAGTAGAGATTGCAGACAGCTGCGTTTGCGTGCTGCGCATGTGTGACACAACTTCGGGTCCGGGGATGCTGGTGACTCTGAAAAACTGCGCTTCGGTGGCGCATGTGTGACACGACTTCGGTTCTGGAGATGCTTGTGACTCTCAGAAGTTGCGCTTCAGTGGATGATCGGCCGGCCGATACCGCCGGCGGTCAGAGGGCGGGGTGTCAGGCCTCTGATCATGGGACGAATCACGGTACCAGTCCTTTGATCGTGGGGCCGAACCACGATATCAGTCCTCCGATCGTGGGGTCGAATCACAGTACCAGTCCTGTGATCGTGGGATCGAATCACGGTACCAGTCCTCTGATCGCGGAATCGAATCACGGTTCCAGTCCTCTACCCGGAGGATCGAATCACGGTAGCAGTCCTCTGATCGTGGGATCTGATCACTGTACCAGTCCTCTGATCGTGGGATCGAATCACAGTACCAGTCCTCTGCCCAGGAGATCGAATCACGGTATCAGTCTTCTGATCGTGGGATTGAATCACAGTACCAGTCCTCTGTTCGGCGGATCGAATCACGGTACCAGTCCTCTGATCGTGGGTTCGGCGGATCGAATCACGGTACCAGTCCTCTGATCGTGGGATCGAATTACGGTACCAGTCCTCAGCCCGGGGATCGAATCACGGTATCATGTGTCTGATCGTGGGTTGAATCACGGCATCTGTCCTGCAGCAGGGTCAGATGAACGATAGTCAGTCATCTGCTCGTGGGTAGCAGGGCAGCATCATTTATTCGTTGTCTGGTCAGAGGTCGCGTCTGTCCTGTGCCGTCGTGTCAGAGGACGGAGGTCATTAACCTGCTGTCCTGCTCAGGACGGTGTCAGTTGGTGTCAGTGTCGGTCCTCGGTCATCGGTCCGTTATCTTCCGGCGTCGTCGGCCCACCATTGTGGTCCTCACGCCGGTTAGCTCAGTCCACAGCTCAGATGAGTACCGCACGGGTCGTGAGATTACCTAGCGATGCACGCTGCCATTAGGTCAGCGTCGCCGCGACTTCTCCAGATGGCCGCCGCGGCGCGCTCCGCTACATTTTGACAGGATGTTGCGGCGCTGGGGAGTGGGCTGGAACCCGTGTACCGAAGCTCACCACGCTGCCACAGACGTTGGTGACGGACTGACTGACGGCGGCGAGCGTCACCGCTGTCACCTGGCCCGCGTGTGGTGTCAGGCCGTCGGCCGTGCTCGGCCACTGATGTTGGAAGACGCGTCGCTGCCGTCACGGCCTGGCGCCTTGTCTCAGTCGTGTGATTGACGATAAGGAGGAGTCATGAATCACAGGCGCGATGATCCGCCCGGACATTGGGAGCTCCAGCATCTAAAGTGGCTCATTTGGCGTGACCCATGACACGACTGCGCTCAAAGAGAGAGGGAGAGAGGGAGAAGGAGAGAAGGGGAGGGAAAGAAGGAGGGAGAGAAGGGGCGGATGGAGAAAGAGGAAGAAGAGGACGCGAGACGTGAGTGATGTTAGGAACGTTGGGCACGTAAGAGATGCGAGAGAAGCGAGGGAATGTCACTCGCCGGCATCGAAGGTCGTCAGAAAACGAAGTCGTCTGCTTGTCTTCGCATATGACCGATGTGGTTCTGGAGCCGCTGCTCTGCCTAAGGGCCTCTAACGGCCCTTGGCATCTCCGGTTCTTGACAGCCCAGGCAGCTGACATCTTTTGGAAATATTTGATGTTTTGTATTTTGTTTTAGCCGAGACGCGCTTCTACATATGAAAACATGCAATACCACAACAGGCCACTTCTAAACCTTATTGCTATTCTATAAGTTTGCACCTTATTAAGATCATGTATACTAACTGCTTGCAAAAAAATGCATGCCAGATATATTGACAAATGCATTTTATGAGTTTTCTGAGCCTGGATAAATCACCAAAGAAGCAAACAGACTATAAACAACCAGAGGCCGGATGGTAACGAATGCGCGTATTAGTAGTAGCAGCATGAAATACAGGTTAAAGGAACACGGTCATCACATCCCGGCGGAAAGTCGTCTGACTAGCATTTCATACGAGCCAAATAGCTTGATTCAGTCCGAACTCCATCGGAGGTCGCTGGGAAAGAAAATTGCCATAATCGGTGGTGGGCGGTACGGCAGCCATGTCAGTGTCGCCCGAAATGTTTCGGCAGCCATGTCAGTGCCCCAGCAGCCATGTGAGTGCCGCTAGAAGGATCTCGGCAACCATACCAGTGCCGCAAGAAAGGTATCGGCAACCATGTCAGTGTCCCGGCAGCCATGTCAGTGCCGCTAGAAGGATCTTGGCAACCATATCAGTGCCACCAGAAAGGTCTCGGCAACCATGTCAGTGTCCCAGCAGCCATGTCAGTGCCCCAGCAGCCATGTGAGTGCCGCTAGAAGGATCTCGGCAACCATATCAGTGCCGCAAGAAAGGTATCGGCAACCATGGCGGTGTCCCAGCAGCCATGTCAGTGTCCCGGCAGCCATGCCAGTGTCCCGGCAGCCATATCAGTGTCCCGGAAGCCATGCCAGTGTCCCGGTGGCCATGTTAGTGCCGCCGGCTATGTGTCGGGAGCTCGGGGGACTATTCTGGCTTGCACTGACTCGGAAGCCCTGAGACCACCACGGACTCCAGGCGATGATAGCCTTTGTAGCTCTGGGTTATCTGGCTGGTAAACCGGCGTGTTGTATAGCCTCTGCTCATCTAAGCCGACTTCTTGTTAATTTTCGGCCTCCGAACAATCACAGGTGAACCGATGCTCTCTAGGTCGTCCTACGCTGAAAGGGATATTTCAGAATTTACTATGGCTTTTTGCCTACACTATCTCTCCTCTTTCCCCCAGACCCCACCGCCTCGGTGGCAGCAGTTAGATAATTTGGTTAACGTGCCATGTAAGAAAGCAAAATTTTGGATTTCGCAAACAAAACAAGCATACTTGTCATGCCCATGGCGTGAAATTGATGACCAAAACTCATGTGAAACGTAAAGGTGACCTGCCTTTTTTTGAACTAGGATACCGCCTTTTCCATGCGGAGTGATAAACAGGTATTACACTTCTGTTAGCAGCGTCATCATACAAGCACGGCTTTATTTCCCTATACATGATACGACCTCATCTGTGTGCTTCTTGGGTGTCTCGGAAATCACGCGGCTATCCCCACTCATTGCAGTCAACAGCAATTATTCCCTACGAAATTCCCACTGTCTACACAATTTCTCGTTATTTGCTGTTAATTGTTGTCTGTCCATAATCCTCACCCTCTTATTTGTTTGATATTTTCATCAGTGGCTGGCACTTGTGATCGACGGAGAAGCGATGGAACGAATCTTTGATAAATCAAGCCTCGAGTGCTTGCAGCGGGTTTTCCTGGACAAGACCACTGGACCATTTTGGACCATTTGTCACATTGGGTTTTATAAGACCTCAATTTCGCCCGTATTGGCTCATGATTGCTGAACATTACGAGTTTTTGAAAGACACAGGTGCAGTATGACCAACCTTTTGACCATTTCAGATGTATTCTGTCTTTCTAGCATGCTAAGGGACGCTTAGTTCACATTTCGTTGATTTGCCTTGAGAGGTTTGTACAAGACGCTGCAGCACTGTTCAGCCCACCCCTACTGGCTGCACTGCTGAGGGGCGCCTGTAAGGTCCCGCCGACGTCCCTCAGTCCAGCCTCCTTGTCTGCGCCCCGAGAATAGTTTGGTTAGGTACTGAAGAGTGGTTATTCCGAAGCTCTCTGGCTACGCTCGTGCAACCATTTTGTGCCGGTGCAGCCGCTTAAACCACAAGCGGACAACGTCATGCGTGGCGAAGCCGCTGGATTCCCTCTGAACCCTGGTGGTAGTATGTAAAACCTATAGTTTGCACCATTCTCGATAGGTGGCGTAACGTGCTGCGGTGTTTTCGGGCCGGTTGGGATCAGCGGGTGGCGCCGGCGGCAAGTCGTCGAGATCGGGCTCTTGTGGCGCTAGTTTGGCGTGGTGGGCCGGCCGGCGCGGTGCGAGAGGGACCGGCAGACGGAGAGGAGGTGGAGCGCGCCTCGAATCAGCTGGAGGAGGCTTGGCCCGACATGGCCGGCCCCCGACGGCCCAGCTGACGGGACGGTAGGGGACGCCCTCGCGGCGCGGCTGCTGACCGTACTGGCATGCTCGTGCTGCCGGGCCGGTGCGCGTCGCCGGCGCATTGCTCGTGCCCGTGTGACCTCATTTTTGGGGAATGTGCAGCGTGAGTTCGTATAAGCCGTGTGATGCCGCCCGGGCCTGTAGATGTCCGGGGGCTGAAGATGTTATTCCGGTTATGTTTGTCGCCATTACTTAAGTAGGGAAAATTATGGTAACTTACTATTGTTTTAATCACGATTTTCCTTACCGCAGTAAGTAGGGAGAATTATGGTAACTTACTATTGTTTTAATCACGATTTT